GCATGCCTGTAGTCCCAGCTACTCGGGAGGCTGAGGCAGAAGGATTGCTTGAGCCCAGGAGTGTGAAGTTGCTGTGAGCTAGGCTGACGCCATGGCACTCACTCCAGCCCGGGCAAGAGTGAGACTCTGTCTCAAAAAAAAAAAAAAAAAAAAAGAATGGCAGATAATGCTGAAATTATTGGACTTAGGGAAGTATCAAACTGCAGTTCATTCCCTGCCATTAACTAACCACATAAAGTTAGTGAAGAATTTAACTTCTGAGGCAATGTGGTATAATGGAACAAACAAGGGCTTTCGAGGCAGCAAGATCCAAGTTCACACCTTTAATTCATCATCTATTAGCTATATGAATTTATTTATAAATCACTTAAATGGACTACTATATGAACAAAATGTACATTTTAAACATACATAAAATAGATATAAAGTTGAGATTTAAAAAGAAGTCAAAGTTTGATTTTCCTTCTGCACCCAATGGACATAGTCTTGGGTAATCCTTAGGGTTTGTACACACCTACTTTAAAACTCATCTGCAGCTTTCTTTGGCCGGTCCCTTGGTTATTTTACCTCAAAGTTTCTCAAGTTGGCCAGTATTCTAGCTGCATTAGAATCACCTGGGTCACATGCTGGTTACTCAGTCCCACCCCAGACCCTCTGAATCAGGCTTTCTGAGGTAGACTCCAGTAACTTGCATTTTAAATAAGCCTTACAGGTGATTCTTACCCACTTTAAAAATGGAGAATCACTGCCCCAGACATTCTCCTGGAAAATCTCACCTACCCTCCCAACTTCAACACCACGGGCGCTAGAAGTGTTGGTGACTTCCAACCTCTATCTTCAGAGCTGTTCACGGATAAGGTTTCCTTATCTGTGGTATTTATTAGAAAGGTGAGTCCAAAACTTAATTCATCATCTTCTCTCTAACCCTTTTTCTTTACCTCTGCTTCTTAGCACATGCTTCAAAGTGTAGCCTCTAGTCCAGCCTGCCTGGGGCCCAGTTCCAACATCTTTTCTGATAGACTCAAAGAGGGAAGACTCTTGGACAAAACTGTACAAATGGCTGAACAGCACAGCTGTCTAGAGCAGCGGTCCCCAACCTTCTTGACATCACGGACTGGTCTCGTGGAAGACACTTTCTCCATGGAAGGGAGGCGGGGCGGCTCCACGTCAGATCATCAGGCCTTGGACTCCCACCGCGAGAGCGCAACCTGGCTCTGGATCCCGCGCACGTTCAGTCTGCAGTGGGGTTCCGCTCCTATGAAGGTCTGAGGCCGCCACTGACCTGACGCGGGAGGGGCTCGGGCGGTGATGCGAGCCAGGGGGAGCGGCTGTGGGTGCACGTGGGGCTCTGCTAGCTCGCCCACCGCTTGCGTCCTGCTGTGCGGCCAGGTTCCTGGCAGGCCGGGGACTGATTCGCCACCCAGGGGTTGGGGACCGCAGGTCTAGAGCATGGGCTTAAATCCAGGCTCTCTGCAACATACTAGCTGTGTGACCTTTGGCAAGTCACCTTACCGCTCTAAGCTTCAATCTCTTCATCAAAAAATGGGGATAATAACAACACCTACTTCACTGGGTTGTTCTGAGGATGAGATAAGAGAATACAAAGAGCTTAGCACAGTGCCACATTCATGGCATTCAGATTTATTCTTTTTATTATTAATGGCATTACTCTCCACACAATTCTCAGGTTAAAACCTGGACTCTTTCATTCTGCCTATCCTGGAAATCACAAATTTTTATCAAATTAGTTCACTAAAAATATCTCCTAAAAATATCTCAAATCAGTCCCCTTTCCCCTGCACATACAAATCTTAGTTCAGACCCTGTAACCTCTCATGTAATTTACTACAAACAGCCTCTAATGGTTTCATCGCAGCCAATTTAGCCCCACCTCCAAAGAAATAGCAAATTGTTATTGTAAAATAAAAATCGGATATGGCCTTTTCTCCTGCCCCACCCCTATAATATATCCACTCTTAAAATCCTTCACCAGCTCTCCAATGCCTATAGTATACAGGATAAAGTCTAAACTACTTAGCATGTCACAAACATCCTCAAGCATCATGTCAACTCCTTAATTCCCACGTTCCAGCAGTTCTAAACTCCCCATTGTTCCCCCAACATGCTGCTGTTTCATGCCCAGTGCATTTGCTTCTACTCCCTGGAACATCCTCCCTCCCTTCCACGCCTGCCTGGCTAACTCCCAACTCCTCCTGGCTCAGCCTCAGAGCCTCAGGTTCACTTCTCATGACTCAGCTAGTCAGTTCATCTACAAGTACTGGCAAGCTGCAGTGAAGCTTTAATGAGCTTTTTTTCCTTCTGGAAAGAGTACACATTTTCCTATTTGCCACAGTCCACCCATTCCTTACGCTATTTTGTCACACCTGGCCCATTTTTCTTTTGGGTAATCTGTGGTTGAGACTTCTCACTAACTTATCCCTATTTTATTATGTTATTAGATTTTTCTCTGCTTAGTACCCTGTGCTTGTATGAGATAAGTGAACAGGGTCAGAGTAGCAATCCTTCATCTCAGAGGGGACATTTCTCCCCTGTGAACCCAATTAGCTTAGAGGTCAAAATTGCAATTCTGCTCTCAATGTTCAACCCAGCAGTCTCCCAAATAGGTGTGCTTTCCCCAAGGGGTTCACAAAATGATCTACTTGGTGTGGAAGTAAATACTGGAACTTTCATTCGTGCTAATTTTTATAGGAAACAAAAAGAAAAAACTGAAGTTTTATTAATAGTTAACGTATGAATTGACTATGGCACACTCAATGGGCCATGTCAAGTAATCATGTATTAAATATAGGATACAACAGGTAGCTGAGAGGGCTGTGAGAGAGCTCCACAACCCAGAGGGGGCCACAGTGACACCCTCATTCGTTCAGTCATTTTCAGTATATTGCAACCTAATGCTTGAACGAGGCTGCTGAGTTTCTAAGGCTTAAACTCTGACACCTCAGACATTTAGAAGGGAGAGGATAAAAAAAGTCTGACAAAGACTTCTAGGATGAAGCTGGTGGACAGGAAGAAACTAGGAGAAAGTGAGAATGCAGAAGCCAAGGAGAAATCCAGTAAATCAAATGCTGGAAGCTTTGATTAAGATAACGACCGAGAATTGATGACTGGATTTGTCAGGATGGGACCTTGGCAGAGTAGTTTCATTGGAGTAGGAAGGATAACAAAAGCCTGACAAGGGTATTTTAGAGCAGGAACTGAGGGAGTAGAGATAGTAAGTAATGAGAATTCAAGGAGTTTTGCTAAAAAAAAAAAAAAAAAAAGGTGGGATGGGGCACCCCAAAGATGGAATCGTTGGAGGGGTATGTGGAATCAAGAGAAATGTTTTTAAAGATGGGAGATACAATCACATATTTAAATGCTGATAGACTCTGGAGGCTGAGGCAGGAAGATTATATGAGGCCAGTAGTTTGAAACCAGCCTGGACAATACAGTGAGACCCTTGTCTCATACATACATGCATACATACATAAATACTGGTAGAAATAATTCAGTAAAGAGGGAAAATTGATAACAAGAAAATGTGTAACTATAAAGTCTTCAAATACTGTGCCCAATAGAACAGGAGCAGTTTTGCCTTGTAACAAGAGGTAAGGCAGAGTACAGGGTACAATGCAGGTAGGCAGACAGGAAAAAAAAAAGAAATAAAATCATGAGATAAGAGAGAAAGATGGCATGCTAAAAGTGTGAGGAAAAGGAAGTTGCAAAACTGTTTCAGAGAGTAGGGAAGAATAGCCAAGGGAAATACAGTGGAACTACTGTAAGTGCTGAGCACCACATGAGGTTCATAACCACACATTTGAAGTGTGACCAGTCAGCATGGAAATGTACTTTTCTCTAGCCACACTGGGTTACTCATGTTCAAGTGAAAAGTAAGCAGAGAGTCAGAGTAACCAGGGTTGGGGTTTTTCCAAAAGCAAGGGAGTTGGTTGAGGGTGTATAGTACACACTGATTATAGCAATGGACCTAATGGATGGAATCTAAGCTAGTTAAGAATAAGATAAATCTAAAAAAATATTTTTCTTTCATAACAATTCAAAAACCTTTTTGTTCTCAATAAGAAAAATTAACATTTCAGATGCTTAACCAAATGTTATGCCAATTGTGATAGCTTCTTCAGATCAGTAAATGTGACCAACATGCACCTTGTTACACGGGCCAGTGGCCTAGAAGTACCCCTTGATATCTCTCTCACATATCCAGTACAGTAACGAAAGCTGTTCTCCTTTCAAAATATACTCTGAACCTAACCACTTCTCACCACCTTTACCACCACTACCCTGGTGCTTCTCTTGCTTGGACCATTTTACTGTTGGTCCCTTATCTATTTTTCCTTTCACAAGCCAAAGAACTTCAAAATTAAATCAGATCACGCTCTTGCTTTGGACTATTCAATGACTCTTTGTCACACTTAGAAGAAAATCCAAATCCTGACCATGGCCTGTAAGACCAGATATGACCTAGCTCCTGGGTATCTCTCCAATTTACTTTCTGGCCCTCTGCCCTGCTCTCTGGCCCAGCCATGCTGGCTTCCCGAACATTCCTCAGTCCTCTTATCTCAGGACCTTTGTACCTGCTCTCATTGGAATACCCTCTTCTCCAATATTCAGCAAGGATCTGAATGAACTCTCTCATATCAGTCGGATCTCTGATCAAAGGTCAATTCCTCACAGAAACCTTTCCTGATCACCAATCTAAAAAACACTGACGAGGCCAGGCGCGGTGGCTCACGCCTGTAATCCTAGCTCTCTGGGAGGC